GAATTGTCTCATCGATTCACATCTTATTTATGAATTGCAGGTCTTTTTCATTAATGGATGAGAAGTTATTGGCATTTAACTTTTTAAAGAAATTTGCAAATAACATTTTATTTATCGATGCAAACGACATGAAATAGTGCGATTAGATGCATCTTGACATGGCGATTCAAATGAATCGTAGATAATTAAAATTCAATCACTGGTTGTTGAGATAATGTAGTTTAAAGATCATGTTTTGGAGCTGTCCGGATACTTTTGGCAGGTTGGTGTATTTTAATATTAATTTTTTTAGCTAATTAAAGATAATTATAGTATATATTAATATAATTTTTTTAGTCAATCAAAATGAAGACAAGTGAGGGGGGATAGGATCAGTTTTATGATAAAATGAAATCAGCTGATTTTTGGCATACTTCATAAAAAATTCAATCCCCACTTTTAAGATCTTATACAAATTTCATTTCTAATATATGTTTTCTTTAATATAAAAAAGAAGTTTTCATAAAAAGCTGTATAAGGCAAATTATATAATATTAACTGAAAAGTGCAAATTTTGAAATGTGAAAACTTTTGTTAGATAGCAGTTTTCTCTTTCTAATAGGAGATAGAATTTTTGTTTGTTGGTATGACAGATTTTAGGCTGATTGATTTACATTAAATATCAAATATTCAATCAATCATTTAGCCTAAATCGGCTTAAAATCAATCACCTTTGATTGGACCACTTAATTTAACTTTTGAAACTTACAGTACAACCTTTACGAAAAATTATTGGATGAAATAAATTTAAAAATTCTTATGCTAAGTAGAAAAGAGCTATGGATGTTATTAAACGTGCTTCCGAAGTATACAAAGCAAATAATGAAGGCAATCCACCAGTTATCGTCTATGACAATGTAACAAATTAATTAGTCAATATCTGAAAATTCTTGATATTCTTCTAAATTAAATGAAAGTACATCTTTGTGTGAAGGAAGCGTACCCTAATGAATGCAATGTTAGTACTAATAAGGGTTATTTCAGTTCTCTTATTTACAAGAATATTTATTGACCGATATTATTATTATTAGCTCGTGTGTTTGATCATGTGCAGAATAACCAGTGAAAAGAAATCGATTATCTTGAAAAGCGTAAAATTGACAAAAAAATTGTATGAATTGAGTGGCGAAATGTGGATCTGAAAACCGTTGCAAATAAGGACATTCCTTCAAAGGTATGTTTGGTTTTGATATAACGAATTTATCCAACTTTTCTTTGATTGCTTCTTACTAATGCTTTTTTTGCAGTCATCAAACAAAATCTTAATGGAAGCTGAAAACGAATTGAGAACTGCGAGACTCCTTGAAACTCAAAACTATCATATTGTAGGGAAAAGAGATCAAAGCTTTGTTGGATGCCAATGAGCTATATCTGGGCATTAAAAATGATGTATCTGACAATTTTTTATTATACAATATTTATAAACAATTAACTAATTATTTAATGTAAGTAGCATGATTTTTATAATAGCTTTATTTATAATAATTGTTTTCTTTATTGGAATTGGAATAATTCCAGCAATGGTCTTAATGAATTAATTGTGAAGCCTTTTATTGATGTAAATTAAAGAAATTTTATAAAATCTATTCATACCTGCTAATTCTTAATACTATTAATACTAAAAACACTATGACTTTATAATTTATATTATCATTTTTTATATTAGAATTAAATAGAAATATATGAATGATTATTGAGAAAAAGATTTAAAAAGAAATTATTTTGTGGTGAGAAAAGAAAAGGTTAAAAATAGGTTATATTACGTAAATAAAAATGGATGAGCTCCTGCGGAGCCCAGAATCAACCAATCAAGTTACCCAATAAAATAGTTATTCTGCGCTAGGAAAAAATTCATTCGTTTATTGGAAGAAGAGATTTTATTTTGTCTTAACCTTTTTGCAAAGTGGTAGTTTTAGCTTTTGGTTTGGTTTTGATATGTCAATCTTGATTTAATTGATATGAAGTTTACGCATTTCTTCAATAGGATCATCTTCATTATCATCTATATTTTCTTTATAGCCAGGTTCTCGAAGTTCTTTTAGCAATGCTTCATAAAATCCGAAAATAATTGCATTTTCAGTTTGACTGAATGAATGAAGGTTTAAAAATTACGATAGAGCATTTTTTACTGTAAAAATTCGCTTTCGTAATCTAGATGTCATGCAACGTATAAATGCTAGATATTTTCCAATTTTCATGTTCTTTTTTAATTTAATAAAGATTTTTTATTTTATTTTATTAAGTCTCGAGTAATTGTCGTTTTAATCCTCTAGCCAAAATCCAATAGGATTGATGGAATTAAAAATAACAAGTTTACCTTGCCAAAGGAAAAACACAGCGAATGTAAAAGATTAAATTGCAAAATGTGAAATTCGCGAAAAAAGGTTATGTAGCCAATTGTATAATTTATTTTTTATAAATAATATATACAATTATATAATTTGTAATCTCCAATCAACTTGATTAAGCTTTGGTCTTTCGTATTTAACTGGATTTACTACATTTTCCTGCTGATTAACCAATATTTCCGAATAATTATTAATAGGAGGTATAAATACTTCATCCAGGTTCTTTATGATCTTTTCTTCCAAATCTCCAAATATTTTTTGAATCTGCTGAGCATTTTTTAAAAATCCCAATGTAACTAAACAACTTAATAAATTTGCAATTTCAACTAAGATCATTTCATATATAATATTTTACGGTTAGTAAGCGTAAAATTACCGGCTAAATGTAAAACAATTTTAATGGTTATATTTACCTTTGAAATTATCAAACCTTTCAATTAATCTTTTTAACGAATCGTACAGATATTCTTCCTCATATATACTTCCTTTCTTTCCACGAGCTTTCTTTCTTTCGGCTCGTCTACGACTTTTGGCGGTTTTCCTATAAATAAAATTGATTTTAATAAATTTGATATTAATCCCCCATAATTATGTATATTATAATATTCTTACCCGCTCTTGGTAGATTGGATACTCAGCTGAGTATTAGATTGTGTATACCGAGTGAATCCACTAGCCATAGAACTTGTATCGGAAAATACATCAACATTCTCTATTGAATCGTCGTTTTCAAATTGTCCAAAATCTTTAAAGAAAAAGGATAAGCCAAACTTAATAAACTCTTTCTTGCAAGTAAATTTTCGTCTGTTTAATTACCAGATTTCTTGGATTTACTAAGACGGATCTCTTGTAATCGTGCAGTTTGCTGATTTAATTGATCCAACATAGAATTAATATCCTGAAGTATATTACCATGTCCTATAGCAAATATTTATTTTAGAATCAATAATAATAATAAAAGTGAAATATGATTTAATGACCATATTCATACCTTCAAGAACGCTTGGTTTAACGTTAGTTTCAATAAGATCTGATCTGCCATACATGTAAGACTACCCAATTGTAAATCCTTAATTAGTAACCTCATGTTGATCGTCATTTTTGAAACCAATTACTTACAATTCGTATAGCTTCACTCCAATGATGACCCTTGTTAAGTAATACGACAGTCTCTTCAGGTTGCTATTAAGAAACAAATACATTTAATAACATTCCATGATTTCATGTTATAGAAATTACTAACCCTTGTGTAATCCAATAATATTTGAGCGGCTTCTTGATAATGTCTTTTATCAGACAAAGTTTCTAAAAATGGGTATTTGCTTTACTTATATGTTCTTATAAACGAAATATCCAATAGGATTTTAAATAAATACCGGAAATTTCTTTAGCTAATAAGAACAATTCATCTGAAGAATATTTCAATTCTTGAGCGATGGCAAATGCCTCACGCCATATTCCCGATTTTTTATAAGATTCAAGCGCTTTTGGTTTATTTCCAGCCATAACGTATGCTAAATAAATAAATAGATATTAGAAATTGTAGTAATTCCACTGACATATATTCGACAATATTTTGATTGGAGATTCTTAGGAAATATGGGTTGTGATCTAAGAAAATCAGGTTCTGAGAAAATTGACTAAATTAATATCTTAATAAATTTAGTTTAAATGTAATATAATTAATCTCAATTTTGATAAAAAATTCTCAGAATTTGATTTTCTTAGACCACGACTCATATATTATTATAAGGTAATCAATATAAATGATATTATCTAAGGAGAGGGTTGGCCTTATATTAAAATGATATTAGGTACTATATGTCAGGACACTAAGAAAACTCGACTCTCGTACCTAATCCAGCTTCTTTGAAATTAGACTCGGAAATAAGATAGTCTCCATAAATGACCATAACTTTCTATGTTTATCAATATATTATTAAATATTCTTTAAAGATAAATTTCTCAAAAAAAAAATAATAATAATAAATAAATTTTTACTTTATATTTCTCATTATTATTAGCAAAGAGAGAAATAGCTGGCTTATAGAGTTGATGCTCTTGAAGATATTTCAAACATTGATCAAAATATTCATCGCCTAAATGATATATAAATCAATAAATATATATATATTTTTTTTAAAAAATACAAAATAAAATATTTATACGTGTAAATAAATATTCTTTTTAGCTTCACCTGCTAAACTTAAATTATTTAAAGCCTTTTCATATCTATTAAGATGATGATCGATCTTAAATCTTTGATAATACTTTGGATAATTTTCAAGTTCGGCCAAAAATGATAAATATTCTCTTGGATCCTGCATAATAAAAAAATTATTAATATTAATGGTGAAATAATAAACATTTGGTGAAATAATTTACCTTTTGGGATTGTTGAGCAACTAGAAGTACCAAACTAAAGTCATACATTCCCAATGCAATATCAAATAGTTTATCTGCGTCTACTAAAAATATTGCATATTTTACAGCATCCTCTGCAATATTTATATCTTTATCAAACATAAAAAAATATATTAATATATATTAGTTTATAATAAATTATCTGTAAAGTGTTAAACCATTCTATTATTACCTTTTAATTTGGCCAAGTAACTTAATGCAGATTCTAATTCTGGTGGTGATTTTTTGACAAAAGTTGTTATTATTGATTGAAGATATTTTGTAGAGTTCTTGGATTCTAAAATTCCACGAACAGCATCACATACACTATTAACTTTTGTTGACACATCTTGCATTCTAGTTCAAAAAAAAAAAATTTCAATATCTCGCGCATGCTAAAAAAAATTTTCCTTGCATAAAAAAAATTTTACCCCGTATTATTCGTATTATTATCGGACGACCCATATTTTGGGTCTAAAATAACTTTAGGATACATAGTTATAACCACGTCCTCATTTCTATAATTAAAAGGAATAAATAAATTAAATAAATTTTAAATAAATGTTTCGAATTTATACTAGAAAACATTTAGCTTACCTTAAACTTGATAAAAATAAATTTAAATATTCAACCTTTTCGACTTGGTTAACAAATAATTCAACATTATTCAAGAATGATTTAGGGTCATGATCATATAAAATATTTAAATCAATTCTATGTTTTCTGCAAGTCATATAAGCTGAGAGGTAATCAAATCTAAAATATTTTTTTAATAAAAATATATATTGATCCAAGACAACCTCATATAACAAAATTATGTGCATCGGCTTAAACTTACCGATCTAACGATTCGCGTACTGAAGCCAAGACTAAAACTCGAGGATGAACGGTTTCCAAATTTCCTCTAGGCATCTGATATTTGAAGAATAAAGATTTAAAAACTAATTATATCTAAACAAAAAAAATATTTGTTTTGCTTGATAAATATAAATACCTGCAATAAAAGAAAGACATCAAAATAGACAGCACAAATTATCTTTGATCCTCTTTCCACTCTTCTATCGATTTCATTGTATAGATTATTAGTGATTTCCCAATCTATATATATATATATTTATTAGTTTCAAATTAACATTTACTTTTATTTTGTTATGAAAGATTATGGTCTTACCTGATAAGTTAGCTTGAAGTGGTAAAAATTTGATAACATTACTTAGGGTAGTGAATAAAAGTAAAGTATTATGTACGAAAAATGACGTGCATTCTGCTGATATTAGCATATGATTTCCATATAACTTGTTATTTTCACTTAATCCAATTATTACATTCTATCGATTAAAATTTTTTTAACAGTTTTTCCTTTAAATCCATTGCAATAAGCATAACGTATATTTACCTCAGTCCTTTCTCTTCCGATCCGAGTTGAAGAAATCCAGTGACATACTTCAGGAAATTGAATAAAAACATCATCTTGTATTTTGATCTTTTCTTCTTTATAATTAATGTTTTCGATAAACTTTTCGATTCGATCCATATATATTTCAACTATGTTATTTATAACAAATAATTATTTGGAATTGCATATAATTAAATGACAAAAAACGAGCAAAACTTAATATAAAAAAATACCTTTAAAAATTTTCCCATGAATACTTTCAAACCACAATTCTTTGTTATTTGGATTAAAGTTTAATTTTAGAACGTTTTGTTTAAGATTAAAATTTTCATATGATACACATTTTGCTTTTCCATTCTCATCATAAGTCAAATAAATCGCAACCAAGTTATCATAATGATTGAGCTCTTTGGAAGAATGTAAAAAAAATATAACCGATCGATTAAACCATATAATTTGTCTCATTATCCTTCGGTCATGGTTTGGATCTTCAATTCTTAACAATTTAAAGCAAATTATAATTAAAATCATTAAATATTTTAAAGGTTAAATTCATAATTAATACGTACTGAATAGATTCTATAATTGTTGGAGCTTTAATAGGTCTCTCTAGTGCTCCACTCCATTCAAATAATGTAATCTGTTGGTTAGATTCAAGCACAGCAAAATCATTGCCTCCATTATTTGGTGAAAATGTCACACAAGATGCAGGATTTGAAAGTTGTACAGAGAATGCAAACATTGGTGGCGGCACATTCATCACTCTGAATGGTGTAAGATTCACGGAGACTATTAGTATGTAGTGATGTTAAGGAGTTAATATAATATTTTGCATATTATAGTGTTTTAGATAGAAAAGGTTGAGCTACCATTAATTAAATGGAACATGAGATTTTGATGATTCAAGGAATTTTTGACAGTTGCTAAAGCTAAATTCCTAATAATTGGTCCACTTACAAATATATTATTTATATAACTATAGACTCAAATCACGTTTCCAAAATTATTACGTATTCCAGTATAACACTTTGATATTCAACAAATATTCATCTCAACCTTCTTTTCATCTCAATAATTTAACAGACAACCAAGGTTAAAGCCTATCATAAAAATTAAGGATACTCCCATCGATAACTGCAATAGAAGCAGCATTTTGGTCTGATATCGTATTTGCACTGAAAACTTCCCAACAAAAATCTAGACAATGATATTCATCTATGATAAAGAGAATTATTTTTTTAAAATAATGTTTAACGAGAAAATTCAAAGGAGTATTCTCTTATAAGAATCTTTTATTGAAGGATTTTAACCTTACTTGTGGTGGTATAATGTAGTCGGAGCGCTTTTTCGGGATCCCAAGAGACACTAGTTATTCTAACATCAGATTGACTTTGGATTTCCTGTTTCAAATACCAATGATAATTATTCATATTCCACAATTGTACTAAATAATTTTCGAAGAAAATTTCTAAGTATTTGAAAACGTTTCCGAATTTCTAAAATTCAATTATAATTACCACACGTCGAATGTTCATTATCTGATATATTTTTTTCCATCCATATAGCTAAAACTGAAGAATCACAATTCCACACGATTTCAATAATCTAAAATATTACACGTTATATAAATAATTTGGACATAGAAAGTTTTTTTTTTTTTAAAATTTGAAAAATCATTTTATAATTACTTTATGAGCAAATGTTTCACGTAACATAAATTCTCCATGCCTTAGACCATTTTTTTCAAAGAAAATGATTTCATGCTTATCTGCTAACTTCTGACTTGAAGTAATCAAATTTCCTGATGGCCTTAAAGAAAATTTGTATAATGATAAATAAAAAATTAACTTTACAATTCCCGTAAACTTTGGACTTTTATTTTGAATGTATAAATCATACCTCCATGATAATACGTGTTCAAGTTTATCAACAGGTTCACTAGTATATTGTAATAAACCTTCCCGGTTATATACTCGAATAACTCGAAGTCCTGAATTATAACACCAAATATTAAATATCAAATAAATAGTCTAAAAAATTTTTCTTGCAAATTATATAAATTATCCACCTTTATTAGGATCAATAATTGAACAACAGAACATGCTGCCATCTCCAATCCACGATATACGCGGTTTTAAATCATCATCTGGAGATAGAGTAAAACCAGAAACATCAACCTTATTTTGCGCGGCAGATTTTCCTACTGATCCATGAAATTGTGTTTCCTTTTTTCCCCATCCAACACTTATGCTAACAGCTTATTTTAGTAAAGCAACTATGTTAATAAATATGTCTAAGATAAGATTTTAAAATTTCTAAATCACCACTAACCTTCTCCAGCCTCATCCACATTAATCGGGAATTCCGTTATCACATCAAAATCTTTTGTCATCACCAAGATTGTATCATTTCCTACATAATCCATGTTAATTATTTGGTTTTATATTAAAAATATCAAAGAAAGTTATTATTGCTAACCTGTAACAAAGGTTACTAATTCTTCATCCGGACTCCATTCCATGCTTTGAATCTTTGATTCGATCGATCCGACAAGTTCTGCCTAATAATTTATATTTATTTAAAGATAAGAAGTATAATGATTTTGTTTAAAAAAAATAATAATAATATAATATATATTTACCTGCTGTGACGAATGAACGATGACAATATCACCATTATGAAATGCTATACAAATGACTTGATCATACGCTGAGAAATACATTCCGCAAATTATTGAGTCCAAATCTGTATTCCCTTCATCATTGGACCACATTGCTATCACCTATTTATTTCAAAAAACAAGTGATTAAAAAAATTTAAAATTCAAACAAGAAGGGTTTTCAAAGAGTTTATACGCATTACCTCTAAATCATTATATTTAACGAGCTCAATATGAGAGAGAGTTTCGGAGAATCTTAAAAAATATATTATTTCTTCTTCATGATTTATTAAAAAAGTTTTTCCGAGTCTAGAAAGATATGAAGGAATTGAAAGTACTTTTTGCAAAAGTAAATTTAGGTTTTTCATTTTTTTTTTTTTAATTGATTATTTTTTTTTTTTAGATTTTAGATGCATAACAATGATTTACAAGATTTACAAGATATAAATACTAAAAAGGAAAATAAATTGATTATCTAAATTATCGTTTAAAATCTCATTTATGTTTTTCGTTGAAAAAAAAATTATTTTTTTTTCTTAGAGATGTCGTGCAAAACCGTATTATCAAAAGAAATTTCTTCAAGTTTTAGGTAATTTTTTAAAGTGTTCAAAAAAAAGAAAAGAAAAGAAAATAATACATTTTTTTTGCATCAATGTTTTGTAATATCCTTTAAACAAAAATTCTTTAAAACAAGGAAAGAAACAATAGAAACAATAATAGTAATAATAGCATTAGTTATAAAAACGTAAAATAATTAGGTGGATAATCAAAACGCGACGATACCATCATCAAAACTACCTCATCTACTCAAATTATCGTTGTACAAATTACAATACAAGTTCACTACAATGTTTGGTGTTAAAACCTTTTAGAGAAGAATTAAAAGCCACAATAAAGTCTCGTGGGATTAAACCAAAGCTTGTTGGATTTCTTGCCAATCAGGATCCATCTGCTGTAAAATATGCTGAATCTACATCGAAAACTTGTGAAGAAACTGGTGTAGTATTTGAATTAAGAAAATGCAATAGAGAAGAATTAGAAGATCAAATCGTTGAAGCTAATGAAGATGATAATATACATGGTATAATGGTTTATTATCCTGTATTTGGAGATCGTCAGGTAAGATTTTTAATTTATTTATTAAATATATTTATTTGATTGTTTATTTATTTATTCTTTTAACTTTTTTTTAGGATCAATATCTTCAAAATGTTGTCAGTGCTTCAAAAGATGTGGAAGGATTATGTCATAAATACATATATAATATGTATCATAATGTCCGGTTTCTTGACAGGGAAGAAACGAAGAAATGTATCATCCCCTGTACACCATTAGCCATAGTTAAGGTAAGATATCACAATGATAATTATGTTAAAAAGCACGTGTTGATGATATCTTTATTTTATTCTTATTTCAGGTGTTAGAATTCATTGGAGTTTATAATCCAGTTCTTCCATATGGAAATCGATTACATGGACGCGTAATCACTATAATTAATCGTAGTGAAATTGTTGGACGTCCTCTTGCCGCTTTATTAGCTAATGATGGAGGAAAAGTCTTTTCCGTAGATATTAATAGCATTCAAGAATTTCATCGTGGAACCGGTTTGAAATTAAAGAAACATGAGGTATCAACTAAAAGGAAATCAATTATTCATAATTTTATTTCATTTTATTTTTGATTCTAACTGGTTTTTTATTATTATTTATTAGGTTCGAGATACAAATTTAAAACTCGAAGAAATTGTACCAATTTCAGATGTAGTAATTACCGGTGTCCCAACTCCTTCTTATAAACTTCCCACAGCTTTATTGCGTGATGGGGTTATAGTTATAAATTTTTCTGCATTTAAAAATTTCGAAGATAATGTTAGAGAAAAGGCGAGCATTTACGTTCCCGCTGTTGGTAAAGTTACCATTGCAATGTTAGAAAGGAATTTATTGAGATTATTTGATTATAAATCTCAGGATTAAAAAAAAAAGAATAATGCAACATAAATCGAAAAAAGAGAAATTAACTTGTACTTTGAAACAACGTTTCGGATAAAAATATACCGCGATTTCCTATCATCCTAATCACCTACTACTTTCTAGACTAAAACTTGACATGATACATATGATATTATCATTTATTTTAGTATTTCTGCGGAAAAATACATGATTTGTCAATCATTCAAGAACTTTTGGTTTATTTCAGGACTTTGCGTAGTAATTACGATATCATTATCTAAAATTTTTTTTAATTAAGATTTTAGCCAAAACTTAACTTAATTTATGACATAACACGACGATGTTTCACATGACGAACATGACATGAATACTAATTCGAAGTTGAAGTGTGTCACGAAAAATCGGAATTATCTTTACCAAAAGGTTTTTAAAAAGGGCATTTATAATGAGAAAAGATCGTCTATCTAAATATATCGTTGCTAGTGACGAACAAAACTTTGCGTTTGTAAGTTTTTTTGTAATTTGTAAATCTTATTTGTTTCTTTGTTGTATTTGGTATGCACAGACAAGTTGTTACAATGCATAATCATTACCAAATCCGATGGATTTTAACTGAATATTACAGAGCAAAACGAAATGCCAATTTTAGTAATTCTTTTGCCTTAACGTTTCCGTTATAGCTTTCAAAAAAAAAACAAACAAAACCCTTTAAAATCTAGTGTTGCTGTTGTTCGGATCATTATCAGTGAGAAAACGCCAATAACAACATAACCTGATGAAAAAAAATATATATATAGGTATGTTGTATGTACTGTATCATGATAAAAATAGTTTCCATTAAAAAGATTAAAAAGGCACCTCGAATTCTCCTGAATTTTTTTTTTCCTTCCCCTTACCTATATAAATATTTTACCTTTATTGTGGGAAACAATTTAGTATTCATTCAATAAATTTCATTTTAAAAAAGTGATATAAATTTCTTCTTGTGGTGGGATATTTTTTTTTTTTACCGATTGATTTTATAAAATGAACATTTTGAAAAGTCAAAAACATAATTCAACGCAACCACAGGAAGTCGTCTATTTTAATATCAAAAAGAATGTTAAACATTTATCTCGTTCAAAGTCTACCAATCCTCCTACTCAAAAGGGATCAAACAATAGCTTGATACGTCGTAATTCAAGTAATGATACTATACTAGGGGTACATTCATATTTTGATAAAGAATTACCGCCACCTCCTCCATACTCAAATTCACCCATTGATGACCCAAATTCCACAACGATAACGACTACAACAACCACGACGACCGTAACAACTGTTACGACTACCACAATATCGAACTCTGGTGAATCAACATCAAAGCAACAAAACGTTCCAGATATGACAAATAATGATAGCAATGATTCAGAGATTCCAAGTATTACTATAGTTTCTTATGATTCATGTGATACGAATAAAAATGAAACCGAAATAATAACTCCCTCAATTTCTATTCCTCCCGATAATGAAATTTTACCCGAAAATTCGAATCCCGTGTTTTTAAACATTGATGTTAATTCACAACAAAGACGTCATATACGTTCTGGATCTGCCCCAAATGTTCACACTCTTTTATTTAAAGAACAAACCGATCTTAAATATAAAAAAAACACGGTACCTTCTGCAAGTTCGGTTAATTTGCCTGATTCCAGAAGAGACACCGTTTTCCTAAATAATTCTTATAAAGAAACGCCACAACAATACCTTGATAAATTACGTGATACTCTATCAAAATCAGAATTAGCAACACTGCTCACTAAAAGTAAAGATGTATTTCATGAAACTGTGTTACGAACTTACATGGAAACTTTTGATTTCACCAGAGATCCGGTTGATATCGCTTTAAGGTTAAAATTTTATCCTTTTTTTTTTTTTGTTATTATCTTTCTCCTTCATTGTTTTAAATGATGTTTATATTTTTTTTTTAATTTAATTTTATAGGAAATTCCTTATGGATTGTCACCTGCCGAAAGAAACGCAGCAAATTGATCGCGTAATGGAAGCCTTTGCCAAACGATATTATGAATGTAATCCCGATTTATTTCCCTCTTCAGGTTTGTATTAAAGATAAATACTCAATTATGATCATTATTATTATATCACCATTATTTAGCAAAAAATATTTTTTTTCTTAATTATATTAGATACTGTATATGTTCTTGCGTTCTCAATGTTAATGCTTCATACTGATGCATTTAACAAGAGCGTAAAACGAAAGATGACAAAGGAAGAATTTGTAAAGAATACAAAGATCGAAGGATGCCCTCCAGAGGTATTGGAGGTAAAGGATACACGTATTATTAATTCCTTGTTTTTAATTAAAGCCTAAGAACTTATTGAAGAAATTGAATTTAGATCCTTTATGATAATATCACGTTCACGCGATTTATTTATGCTGATGACGACATAGATGTTAATGGACAGACCATGCTTTCTTCCTCTCATAAATCTCGTCATTCAATAATATTTGGATTACTGGATCGTTCTTCATGCATCAAGAATGATCCTTACTTTGTCATAAAACATGTAAGATTCTCCTTTTTTTTTTTTCATGTTTTTTCAATAATTCGTCCGGGAACTCAAAAACAATTTTTTTTTTTAGAATATTCGAACCGATTACACCCCATCGATTGAACATATTGTTCCGTCGGAAAATCCCTTTTCATATAAGGGAACGCTTCCCGAATTTGACACAGTTAGTATTCATCGGGCATTTACAACAGCTCATACTATTCGAATCACGGGAGTGAGGACCCAACGAAATAGTGAATCCTTCAATCAAATATCATCTTCAATACACCCTTTGGGTGACGATGAAGGGTCATTTCTTCTTAAAATTACTAAAGCTGGAAAATTATGTCGTAAAGTTGATTTATTAGAAGGAAAGAAATCTGGAGTAATAAGAAATTGGAGTCAATACGGGATTATTTTAAGTGGAAGTCAGATAATGATGTTTAAGGATGATGAATGGTTCAATTCTAAAATTTCCGATTTGAAAGATCCATCGGTACTGAGAAGATTTCTTTTTAATTATTGTTTTATTTTATTCTATTTTTTTTTTTAAAATATTAATTTTATTTTTAATGTTCTTTTGAAGAAGTCAACAATATTACCCACATTAAAACCGGATGTAATCCTGATGACTTCAGATTCGGTTGCTTTATATGATAAAAGTTATACGAAATATAATCATGTATTCCGTTTAGTATGTCCAAAAGGCAATCAGTATCTTTTCCAAGCTGAAAACGAAGTCGAAATGAATGATTGGATTACAAAGATAAATTACGCGGCCACCTTCAAAACTGTGGGATTGAAAATGAGACATACTAGGTGTAGCAGTTTAAATCATAGTAAAAGTATAAGAGCTGATAGTGGAACGCCAAAAAGACAAACTTTCTTACAATCATTTTTTAATTATCAACAAAATTGTAATGATGATAATAACGTGAATGACGCTCATAGCAGGGCCGAAGTATTGAGAGTATGTACAATTATCATATTTTTAGGCTCATTCATTTTTTTTCATTAAAAAATTAATTTATTTATGTTTGTTTTTCCTAGACAAAGATTGAAGAACTTGAAGAAAAAATCAATATGTTGAGATCACAAATTGAAATCGATATTCGATTTAGAAATAATTTGATAATAATGATTCCATATAAAGCGATAACGAGGGATAGAATTATTCAGGTGGCAACAGAATTGGGGAAAAGAATAAGAACATCATCTTTGGAATTAAGCAGGTTAGATTGTTATCATGAAATTATGGGAAAAGATTTATATTCAACGACTATCGGAGACAATTTTTATTGGCAAAACGGAAGCATAAATAGAAATCACAGTCATAAACGTCTCTCGCATATCGTTACCACAAGAAAAAATCATCATCATCGTAGATCTCATTCAAAATATACGAAAACAACATCTGATGACGATATCAATATTAAAACCAGACCAGTCACCCTTGGAGCGTTTCACCATGAATGATATATATATATTGTTTAAAATTTGGTTTATTTATTATATTCTATTATTAATTAACCTTTTTTCTGTATATAGTATAAATTAGAGTTCTTTTTCAATCATTTTTCATTTTATGTACATTATTTACATTCTTATAATAAAATAAAATAAAATAAATGTATTATTGATTTCATAGAATTTTAATATTATATTTTATATTGTAATTACCACGTGATGACTACTTCAAAAAAAATTATTTCTAGGGGATCATATGTACAGTATTTTTTTCTAAACAACGATAGTTCTCCTATAAAGAAAATTTAAACATAAAACGATTCTTTTTGTCCGTAAAGGGTGTAAATAAAATTGATAAACCTCCCCTCTCCCCTTTTTTTGTTTCAAAAGAATGAATGATGTTAAACAAACAATTCAATGTGGGTATGTACGGAATAGGAATTGATGATCAATTTCCAGAAAACCGCATTGTTTATACGCCCATAATTAACGTTGTTGAAAGCACGTGTTTTATTTATCAAACCGATATAAGGAAGGAATTTCTCATACAATAACTTTATTGAGATGACGAATTTGGAAATGTTTCGATATAAATGGAATGAATATGGCATTAATACAACACCTTTGCTAAAAATAAACCAAAAGCAGATTTATAAAAGATGTTACTTTTAACTTCATTTGATAATAGAACAAAAAAAAAAAAAAAACTGCTCAACCTTGTGCAAAAAAAAAACAAAAAAAAAATGTAAAAACACAAACTTGGCATGCATTACATAGCCACATAGCCATTGAAAAAAAATTCCAAGATTGTCTTTATTCCCCCCTCAAAAAAAGAAAAAAAAGAAATATTTTTGATTGGGTCAAGAGAATAAAAAAAAAACTTTATTTTCTTACTACAGTTTTATTGTTTGTTTCATTATAATTTAAAATATTTCATTGTTATAAACAAGGTGTTATTTTTTGAATAAACCATTTTTTGTCCTTTTTATTCAACGAAAACCTTT